AACCATTACATCACAGTGAGCCACTCTCTTTTTTCTTTGAACTTATCCATTTTAAATGGAATCAAATTGTAAAAAAAAATTCTTAAAATTTCTGGCACAAATGACAGATCAAACCCTGAGTCAATCTTTGTCCAAACCTGTCAATATTAATTAAAGCAATTATAATTTAGTTGTTACTCCTTAAATTTGTAAACACATTGCCACAGATAAATAATGAACCATTCTGTTTTGATTCTGTGAAAAGACAAAAGAAAAAGATATATTAGATGTGCTTTTTGGTTGTAGTGAGAAAAAAAAGCATACATAAGAAGAAAAATAGAAAGAAAAAAGGGAGATAGAGGAAGTAATAATGCTCTCATACATTTAACTTCTGCTTTAGTGAAAATTTTGAATCTTTTCACTTGAACCCTCTTGCTTCTTTAAAATAATGAATTACATTCGTAATTATGATTGTTACTGCAATACTTTGTTAAAGTCTTCAAGCTCAAATATTTAATGATGCAATAAGGGTATTTCCACAGGAATTCGCAAGGAGTTTATTCACTCATTAACTTAAAAATTATGATACATTGGAAAATTGAAATAAGAAAACTGTTACATTCTCCCAGGTACTATTAGTAAAATATAATTTCTAGGATGAAACTTGTTTCATTATAATTTAGTCAGGTTTTGGCATCTAAGAAACCAAGTCAGAGGATAGTGCTTTTTTAAAGCTTGAAGGAAACAAGGGGGACAACTCTGACTCCAAAAAACAAGGTATGGAATATAATTCTCAATGAAGCTAGGAACTAAAAATAGCAAAACATAGTGAGCGAAGCTTGTAAAAGTCTATTTGCTAACATATGACTGGTGCAAAAGCTAAAAAGTGATAGTATTTGGGATCATTTGATCCATTTCCATTCAAAAGATTCTACTACTGTTTTTTATCCTATCTCAACAAATGTCATTATGATTGTTTAAGTTCAAGTATTTATTGAGATTTACTAAGGTCAATTTAGTTGGGTTTCAGAGTCACCTAGTAAGAATCAAAGTTGCTATACACAAAAAATTGTTCTACAATACAAAACTTGAGCTATATCAGTTCAAATGCTTGTAACTCCAATATTTGAAATCACCTTATATTTGAACCTTTCCACCACCAAAACCATTTTTTAAGGCTTATAAAAATCATTTAACATTTGAAAAACAGATTCATATATAAATGTCTAATGATGACATGCAGTTTAACTGTCATATTTGTTTTCAATGATCCCAAATGACTTTTAAGAAAGATGCTTTGCAAATATGAGGTTTGTTTTGAAAAAATATCTGTTAATTTCAACAAAATTTACCATCATTCTTCAGATTTTTCTCTTCAGCAAATGAAAGTTCCAGTAAAAATTCTTTTAAGTGAGTATTTTAGCTTCAAAGCCAAAGTTTGGTGATGCTGACACGCAGATGCTTTTCTTAAGGTGAGTCATTTGTAAATTTTGAAGTTTGGGGCTTTTTATGCATAATTGGTGGAACATGTGTTGGGGTGGAGTTAAAACTTGAGCATCAGTCCTGGCATTGACAATGCCCTTCGACGTGGACGGAAGAACTCCACAATCTGAAATTGAAAGCAAATTTTTATTGTACATCATACAAATCTCACAAATGTATTATTCTTTTTATTATAATATATACATTTACATTCAGACAAATATCCTCATCAATACTCACGCTGTTTCGGCCATTGTACTGTCCAGTCTTCTTCAGGTGTTTGTACCAGTTCACTTATAATCACCAAAGGTAAGCAAAGTCAAGCCTGGTCAGTACCTAGATGCATGTTCCCTTGGAAATACCAGATGCTGTAAGCTTGTATGTGCAGATGATGTAATGGATAATGGCTGGGAATTGTTAATCAGAAAGCAAAGTTCCAATTCCAGTTGGGCTTGTTATATTCACTTATATACAAATACACTTGGGAAAGGTATGAATCCACCTCTTTTTGCCCCCAGCTAAGGGCTAATTACTAAGACTTGTATCATTAAATCGTTATTATCTCAAAAAAAGAAAATTCTTACAATCTAAAAATATATTCTGGCTTTAAATAATCTGCAAAAGGTTGATAAACCATAAATGATTCAGTCAATCAGATGTTTGTCATGTAATTTATACATGTGTTATAAATAAAGTTATAACATATGTTATAAGCATAACATGTGTTATTTTTTCAGTAGTTGTGCTGATATGAACTGATGAATAGCACAAGGTTTGAATCTCTCATATTGTGATTATTTTCTATTCTTATGGAAAGTTGCCTACTGGATTTTCTTTTATAATCTCTAATGTACATGAAGTTTGATCAAAAAGTATTGGGACTATAGAAAGAAAACTACAACACATATCAATTCTGCATTTAATCTACTTTGAAGTAGTCCCCTTCTGAAGCCACACACTATATCCAGTGTTGTTTCCATTGATGAAGTACCTGGTATTTCCAAGTGATCACCCATCTAGGTGCTGATCAGACTCAAAGTTGCTTAACTTCAGTGATCCTTGAGAACCAGTGTTTCAATATAATCTGGCTGTAAGGAATGTTTAATATGATAGCAATTTGTGTATTATGAAATATGCATATTAAATATACAAGGTATGATAAAAAAATTATTGGCACTGGTACTATAAAAGGAAAACTACAATACATATCAATTCAGCATTTAATCTCCTTCGAAGTAGTCCCTTTCTGAAAAACACACACTTTATCCAGTGTTTTTTCCATTCATGGAAACATTCCTGAAATTCCTTTTTTGGGAGAGTGAGCAGCTGCCTCATCACATTGTCTTGGATTTCCTTGACATCTTGAAATCTTGTTCATTTCAAGTGTGATTTAATTTTCGGAAAAATGAAAAAGTTATAAAGAATATGGCAGTTCTCAAAATATGGCAGTTGTTGAACCTGAAGATTTTTGCTTTGCTAAATAGGCACGTGCATTGTCATGGTAGAGGTGCCACTCACTGAATGCATGCAATTCTGCCCTTTTTCGATGAACAACATCCCACAAACATCAGAACATGTCACAGTAGTACTTGTCATTTACTGCCCGACCAGGTGGAGCATACTCATGATGAACAATGCTATTGCTATCAAAGAAAACTGTCAATAGTGCCTTCACATTGCTTCAAATCAATAGTGCTTTCTTTCAAAGAGTTTTGGGTCTTCTACTGTGAAGACTGAACCTTTGTTTTGGGGTCATAACCATAGACCCTGGAATGAATTTGATGCAGATTCTCTGCTTAATTTTCTCTGTTATGGTTACTGATGGAACCTCTGTGGTGTAGTGAGATGACCACATTCTACACACTTTCCTTCCAGGCACTGCTATAAACAACAGAAGTGAGCAAGAATGTTATAACTTAATGTGCACGAGCAACAGAGTTCAAGGTTAATCTATGCCATGTGGTTTCACTCTGCACACTTTAGCTCTGTAACCATAGCAATAATCCTGATACTTTTTGATCTGACCTCATATTTCAAGAGGAATGAATTAAATAGTTGGATGGAACCAGGAACAGTTATAGAAACTGAAAACAAGCAAGATTTTGTGATGCATGGGGGAAGCTATGTTAGGGTCTATCTTTGTCACATGCAGGTGTATAATAATGATTTTGTTGAAGAATTGAATAGACCCACGACTGATGAGAGACAGTCCAACAAGAATAATTTGGAAGATGATTCATGGGTTGACCAAAACTGACCAGACGAAAGAAATGGTAATAGTACTTCTATAAGTGGAAATAAAAAAAACTGAAGAATTGAGTATCAGTCAAGATGTAAAAATGGCTGCAGAAATGTTTAATCTTTGAAATTGTCTAGTATAGATACTATACTCAAGAAGTATCATTCAGTTCATATACACATTTATGTAACCTCCATATATAACCTTCAGGATTTTCAGTTTCTGGAGGAGATCCTAGAAAGACTGTCCTTTGGAATTGTTTCCCTTGCATAAAAGCTGTCCTGATATTCATCAAATGAAATGTCCTTAAAGATGCAGTGATGGTCAGGATAATTCATAGGCTCTCTTTTGAGCAAGTAGGCAAGTCACTTTTAACCAATTCTGAGTTTTCATCTTGAAACCCTTATGTGACTAGTCTTGCCTTGATTATAATTCTATCTTTTATTGTTTTTTTTTTACACAAATCTATCTTCTTGTAATACTATTTTGACCAGGGTCAGGTACAACAGAATACATTTTGTTATCAAATTCCTTCTTTACCTGTAATTCCTTCTTTACTTGTAATTCCTTCTTTTTGTTTCAACATCTTCTACCTTATGAATAAGGTAACTTCTTCGTTGTCATTGTCTACTGAAAGGTCCTTTTCAAGAGGATCATTTTCACATATTTGTGAATTTTAAAACATACAAGTTGACTAGCACCAATCTGGCAATCCAATTCAATCAGTAATCCAACATGATACTACAGTTATACTTGGTAACCTTCTTGGAAGTTTAAATCAAACCCTGCAGAGTATTAATTGATATGAGTTATCTCCCCTAAGCCTGGTAAGTTGTATTAGACCAACCAACCTCAGAAATTGAATAAAGTATTTGGTTAAAAATCCAAGAAGGTTTAAAAGTACAACAGATACCTGAAAAATACTGAATGATACAATATCTGAAACACTGAGTATAACAACTTAGATTAGTATATAAGTTGAAATGTATAGGTATATATGACTGATTAATTAATAATTTAGAATTAATAATATTTGTTCAATAAGTGTCATATAAATAAGACATCCCCTTGCAAAATTTAAAGACACTTTTTTAGCAAAGACTTTTACTAACAATTTGAAAATATAAATAATATCCTAAGACATTTATAATTATTAATAAATTAGTAAATCTGTAATGTGTTTACTTTGCTTTAAAAATAGATATAACAAAATTTTCTTTGAACAATGAAAATTTGACAAACTTGGCTCTCCAATTAATAATTCCAAGCCGTTATCAATTATAACACCAGCAGATCCAAGCTTACACCACTTGGTATTCCTAAGTGGTCACCCATCTAAGTACTGATCAGGCTCAACATGCTTAACTTTGGTGATCATACGGGAACTGGTGTTTTAATGTAATGTGGCTGTAAGCCAAAAGAAGAAAAAGTTATAAATTATATTTTTAATCATAAGCATTCACTATTTTCTTTTGATATATGATCTTTATTTTTTAACTTTATTTTATTTTCCAATATCATATCTGTAACAGAGAATTAGGCCAACCCAACAAGAGACCCAGAGTTGGTTGCATATGGGGCAGTAAGCACCAGGAGTGCTTCCACAATGGGATGTTGAGAGAAGACATTCTACTTACAAAACAAAATTGGGCCAACCCAACAAGAGAATATTGGGCAGGTATTAGCCAGTAGTCAGCCTGGGTCTGGTACTGAGAGAGCTATATAACACCAGTGTTTTCTCAGTTGGGAGAAAAGTGCTCTTGACATGCAGACCGTTGGAGTTGGAGTTTACGTTTACTGTATTTACATTTTATTTTAACATATTTCCAATGTACAAATCTCATTGATTTTCACATGGACATTTTTCAATTTTATTAACTGTTAAAAGTTTTAAAATTAACCACAGCATTTTTAAGTAACAGAATTGCCACACAGCTGCTTTTTTTCCTTGATTTTTTTCAGTTTGTTTTGATAAAACTTGTGGAGTGCAAAATTTTAAAATAAAAAAAGAAAAGAAAAAAATTTAAACATCCAACTGGTTTTCACACCTTCCATACTTTATCTGTCAATGATTTATCATTCAAGATTTTATTTATGAATTCAGATACCCTGTAAAGAACTGTGTTCTTGATAAAAACAAATTCATGAATAATTACGTCAGCCATACCACCACTTATTTATCAAAATGGCTGACCTTACATCTCTTGGACTATAGTCCTATAAGGACCCATTTAAACCAACATGAAAACATTACAAATTCAATATGCAACATACTCAAATATAATATACACCTCTAACTATAAAACCACCAAAAAATAATAGAAGCTCTTATAAAAACAAAAAAAAACCCTTAACAACATCAACTTCGAACATGGCCATAATCTACTGATCAAGTTAAGGAAATAAAAATATGTCTACATCTTAACAACATACATACTATTTGCAATAGCACAACCAAAATCTTTTGAAATGGCTAGTAGATTAGTTCAGAAAAAATTATCATTTGGACAATATCAATATATCTCTTGTTCACACAGAAGAAAAACATAATAAAAATTTAACATTTTTAATGAAACAATAGAGACAGATTGCTGTCCAAATACACAATACTTTATATACATATATTATTCAAACAACAAAGAAAATACTTTATAAACCTTAGCACCCATAATTAATACCACGAGTCTGTGTGTGAATGTAGAAATGTAAGCATATGAATACAAATTCAAACAACAATAAATTAAAATTTAATTGTAAACCTAACTGGCTATAATAAGTACCGTAATATCTTTTTTCATAGCATCTTTGTTCAATAAAAGATGTATTTCAGATTCTAGTACATCAGCATTAATTTTAAAATTTTTTCCTCCTAATATATTGGGTAACTTCATATTCATTTTTTATTAATTTTTTATATTAAGCATAAAGGTAGATTACTTGTTCTTTTTCAAAAAACAAAAAAAGGTAATTTTCTCTCTTCCTTTAATAAGGATACTAAGAAGCTTGTCTGTGAATATGAGAGGATTCTATTGAAAATAAGTAGACAAAACTTGTCCAAATTATTTAATGAGACATATATATATTTCTCTCAAACATGTTTTGTTAAATAATACCGACAAGTTCTGTCTACCAATTTTTTTTATTAAATCTCACATTTGATGGAATAAATTTCAACTCACTCAGGTGAAATCATATAACTGATCAAATTGGGCACCTCAAGGTGGTGTAATGGTTAGCAAGCTTGTCTCGCTAGAACAATTACAACTGAGTAGTGAGTTTGATCCTCACTGGGTGCCCCATACTTTCAGCCTTGTGCCACATCTGAGCTATGCTTGGAAAATCACTATAAATGATCAAACTGAAATTTTTATGTCCATTTTTTTTAAACACACTTCAAAATACAGTCCCCTATGAAGAAAGATACCTTATTCAATGTTGACTTTTTCTCTTTTATTACAACAGCCTCCAGAATTTGGAGTCTTTCTTTGCACTGTATCCTGTGTGAAATTTTGTCTAATGTTTATATGACATCATCTTGAGTGAGTTGAAATTGGTTCCATCAAATGTGAGAATGCTGGAATCAAAAACCAGTTGTATAACCACACACAGAACAATCCTTGAAAATGAACACAGCAACATTCAAAAGTACTTGGGAGAAAAAATAATACGAAATAAAAGCTATTATGAATTTTGGCAAATTTACCAGTAATACAAAACAAATTATTCAGAAATTTGAAAGATTTAATAAAAAATTAATAGACAAAACTTGTCCATATTATTTAACAAAACATGTTTGAGAGAATTCTTGCTGCCAAAATACACCATATATATTTATATATATTACTTTAAATGTTATTATAGTGGACATTTATTTGAAATAGATACCCCATTTTTATCTATTTATTTATTAAACAGTGTGGAATATGACTGTGGAAAAATTAAATAATAATAATAAATATAATAATAATAACGAATAAAAAACAGAAAGGACAGAACTGTTCTCTTCCCCTTTCAAATACATAGTGCACAGGTGTATTTTGCAGAACCTCCACTAAAGAAGTACATTTACTTTAGTTGTTCTAACACAGTGCAAAGCTGACTTGAGCATGACCATTATAACCATTCATATCATTACAAAATAATAATGATAGTCTGTTTTTGTTGCATGAAAAATTTCAAAGCAACGACAAATTCCTGTATACAAGATGCGGAAGTGAAAATCACATCGCAGGTCGTGACATCACACATGACCACGTGGGAGTGAAAACGAGAAGTATTAAGTATGGGAAGCCGTTGGTATAAACCAATGGCTTGTGTTATCAATTAAAGGCATTTAAGAATATTTGTAGAGATTTTGTAGTTTATTTTGTTCATTATTGTTTCATCTGTATATTGTTTGATATATTGAAATGTAATTGTCATCTTTGATGATGGCTTATGTAAACCGAAAGCTTAGATAGGATTAAAACATGTATCAATATGGTGATTTCCTTTCGTCTTTCAATGATAATGTTATTAAGCTTATCAGACAATATGAAAGGAACTTACTTAAAATAAATAGACAAAACTTGTCTATATTATTTAATGAAACATGCATCAATATATATATATATATATATATATGTATATATATATATAAGCAAATATATGGATATAGATCCGACAGTATGAAGAAAAATATACTGAAAAAACAAACAAAAATCCTAATATGCGATTATGCTGTTTTAATGTTTAATGTCAACGTCAGACGTTTCAGTCTAATAGACTATCTTCAGGACATATTCATAAAACATAAAGATTTCAGTTATCTGTTTGGATTGGTCTTGCTTTTATGTCCATCGTCTTTTTCATGTTGAATTGTATATGGTCTATGTTAATTATGTTTTTATGAATATGTCCTGAAGATGGTCTATTAGACCTAAACGTCCGACGTTGACATTAAACATTAAAACAGCATAATCGCATATTAGGATTTTTGTTTGTTTTTTCAGTATATTTTTTCTTCATATATATATATATATATATATATATATATATATATATATATATATATATATATATAAGTCACTTTATTCAGAATAGTACCAATATGAAAGACCATCTGCCTTTAAAAAAAACCCAGTTGTTCTTGGTATAGATTCAACCATGTCCTGGAAGCATTCTTTTGAAATTTGGCCCCATGCTGTTATTATGTCATCCCACAATTATTCTAGATTAGTTGGCTGCACATCCAGGGTTTGAATCTTCCATTCCACCACACCTCAAACATGCTCTATGAGATTGAGATCCAGTGACTGTAGAGGCCACAGAAATTGTGGTGTTTCATGAATCAATCTGTGACTATTTTTTATTTACGACAGTGTGCTTTGGTCTGTTGGAAACAGTCTCCAGTGGTTGGGTGCATCATAGTCATAAATTGAGGCATGTGGTTAGCCTACAATATTGAGGGTGGCTGTGGTATTTAAATGACATTTCATTGTTACCAAGGGTCCTAAGAAAATATTCCCCATACCATTGCATCACCAGTTTGAACCATTGATACCAGGCAGGATGGATCCATACTTTCATATTGTTTATATCAAATTCTAGTCCTGTCATCTGAATCTTACAACCAGAATCAAGACTCATGAGATCAGACAACATTTTTCCAATCTTCTATTGTACAATTTTTTGTGATCTTTAATCTCAGTCTATTATTCTTATTTGAGAGGAATGGCCACCAGCATGGTCTATATGCTTTGTGAGTTATCCTCCTTCGTTTACCAAAAATGCCTGTTAGGGGAAGCTCTTTAAGTTGATAAAAATTCAAAAATTTCTTTCATCTTACTCTTTTTTAACTCTTGCCTTCAAATATAGTTGCACATGGATAAAGTGTCCCCCATCAAGGCACGTTGACTTTCATGATCCTCACATAACTGAATTCTTGCACACATGCACATACACAATTGAAATGAAAGGAAAAGACACTGAAACTAGTTATGAGAATGTGTTTGTGAGTGATAGACCCGTGTGTGTATGTGAGAGTTCAGAGGGCCATGAAAGTGAACATGCCTCAGTGGGGGACACTTTACCCACATGTGACAACATCTGGAAGCAAGAGTTAAAAAGAGGAAGATGATAGAAATCTTTTTATAGACTTATAGTGCCCCATATCAAGCGTTTTGAGCAAGCCAAGGTTTAATGTGCTGTGTACCACCATTGTAAAGAGTGATTATTTGAGCTACTGTTGCCTTTTTATCAGCTTCAACCAGTTTGACCATTTTCCTGTAACCACATTCATCTACAACCACAAAATGTTGGAAGCCACTTGCTGTTCTATCACTACTTCCATGGCATTTGCCCTGACCTTTACAATTTGGACCCTCCATGCCACACACACAAGTGTGTATCATTCCTATA